CCTTGACTGCCCCTCCTGAGGGATGACGGGCCTTCGCTCAATCCCAGCTCATCTACTGCGAGGGTCAGGTTGTGTCCCCGGGCCCTGAGCTGTCTCACCGCCCCCCCCCATCTCGCTGGTTCTGTTCATGGTGTCACCATTCACTGTCACTGCCCCCAGACTCCACCCAGTCACCTCTGACTCTCCTCCTTCCTCCCGCGTTCAAAGCCCCCGCCCCTTCATCCCAGCCACAGGACCTGGGTTGTCCCTGCTGGCTGCCCCGTTACCCCACACCTGGGCTGGTCGCAGCCCTCACCCACCTATCCAGGCCCTGCCCTGTGATGCTGGGGCCGGGACAATGCAAACTCGGCTCTGCCAAGGAGAGTTCTAGAGAAAGACGGGAAGGTGGCGGGAGCAGGACTTGCTCCTTGCATCTGCTCGTCGTTTCTCTTAGCAACAGCCTGGCCATGGCCTTCACCCCAGCAGCACTTTAGCTGCTGCCTCCAGGTTTATTACACCCCCTCAGAGGCACCAGGGGCCCCTTCTCAGAGGTCGCCTCTCAGCTCCCCAGGGTCCTCCGAGCTTCGAGGTCCTGAGGACCCCCTCTTCCCTGTTCCCCAGCCCTGGGGCGAGGCTCCTGCAGTGACTCTGCTGCCCTGCTGTCCCCTTTCATCAGCCAGGTCAGTGGTTCTCAACCTTCCTAATGCCGCGACCCTTTAATACCGTTCCTCATGTTGTGGTGACCCCCAACCATAAAATTATTTTCATTGCTACTTCACAACTGTAATTTTGCTACTGTTATGAATTGTAATGTAAATATCTGATATGCAGGATGTATTTTCATTGTTACAAATTGAACATAATTAAAGCATAGTGATTAATTACAAAAACAATATGTAATTATATGTTTTCCGATGGTCTTAGGCGACCCCTGTGAAAGGGTCGTTAGACCCCCAAAGGGGTCGCGACCCACAGGTTGAGAACCGCTGATCTAGAGGAACCTCAGGCTGAGCCTTGAACCCAGCCTGACACCTACCTCCACTTAGAACCTAGTGGAGTGCTGAGCCCCGATCCAAGCAACAGTGTAACTGCAGTCCCAATTCAAGCTCCACTGCCCTGCATTAGCATTCTGAACAGGCCTGGGGGTTCCGGGGCTGCATCCCTTGAACAGGGAGCCAGCAAGCAAGCATCCTGGATCTCAGGGCCTATGGCTGTGGCCCAAGGGCTGGGCTCCTCCTACCTCCCTGAGTGGCATCCCCCCGGCAAGAGTCCCCTGCCCTGTGAGCCCCTAGGGCCCTGTGCCCTGCTGGGCCAGGCTCTCCCGCAGCCTCCCTGGCCCGTGACCTGCCCAGACCTGTTCTAGATTCCACACCACCCTTCCCCAAGGCTGCCTCCACCTCCCACCTGCCTGGCTCGGGCAGGGCCTCCTGAGACTCAGCTGGGAAGGCTGGCAGGCGGGCGGCTGGGGCGGGCTCCGGGGCCATGGAAGCCACAGCGGAGCCCGTGCTCTATCGGAAACTGCTGCTCTGGGAGGAGAGCTGGGAGTCTGGGGAAGAAGAGGAGGAGATAGCAGAGTCCCTCGTTCCGGGCCCCTGGAAGCCCCAGGACTCCTCTGGGTGAGTCAGGGAGGGGTCTGGGCACCCGAGAACTCAGGACTGAGGCTGGGCATGTCCCTCCCTCTGGGGCCCCTAGTGCTTGGCTCGGCTCCAGGAACTTTCTGGTTGAATAGGAGGAACCCTTGCTGCGGCCCCAGACCTGGCCTGAACCAGTCAATTTGAGGTCTGTGTGTCTGAAAGGACATTTGTACCGAGCCAGCCCTGTCAGAGGTTCCCAATCCCACCCCCTGGTGCAGGAGGCACCTGTTGAGCAGGTTGGGGCCTGGCTGCACCTGGCTGGGCCCGCTCCTCAGCCTGCCAAGCTCCTGTCAGGCTGTCCTCCCACTGGCTCAACCCTGCCTCTCCAACCTCCTCTCTAGGACGCCCTCCCTCGCTGTCCTCGGTTTCCCCAATCTTCCTGTTTCTGTCCAGGCTGGGCCATCTGCCAGGAAGCCCTTCTCCTTGGCAAACTTATAGTCCTCTCGCAAGCAAGGTCAACCTTGGGGGAAATATTCCCTGGGTTTTCTTGGGGCTCCGGGGTGGCTGCTGCCTCGGCCCTGGCTCAGGACAACCTCTCCGCAGGAAGAAAGTTGGTGCTCGGCCCGGGGCCTGGGCTCAGCTAGTGGCCGCCCTGCTGCTGTTGGCCGTTGGCTTCTCCCTGGCCATGTGGCAACTCCACACCAGGGCTAGCGCTACAGAAACCTCGGGCTCTGGGGCCCCTCCCCCCAGCGGGCACTCACACCGCCCTGGCGTCTACCACCACGGTGCCATCATCAGCCCTGCAGGTCAGTGATGAGAGCAGCTCGGGGAGGAAAAGGGCCAGGATCACTCGGGCCCCTTCCCATGAGAGTCCCTTCCTTGCTGCAGCCCCGTGCTCCGACCTGGGCCGAGAGCTGCTTGTTGCCGGGGGCAATGTCGTGGACGCCGGAGTTGGAGCAGCTTTGTGCCTGGCAGTAGTGCATCCTCATGCCACAGGGCTAGGTCAGTGACCCACAACCCCAGTGATCCCAACCCTGGGCCCAATCGTTGACCTGGAACCCGGGCAGTCAGTGGCCCCGACCTCAAGGCTGGTTAGTGAGCAGGACTGGGACTTGGCCAATCCGAGGCTGTGACCTTTTTTTAATTATTCTTTTTTCAAAATATATATTTTATTGATTTTTTTACAGAGAGGATGGGAGAGGAATAGAGAGTTAGAAACATCAATGAGAGAGAAACATCGATCAGCTGCCTCCTGCACACCCCATACAGGGAATGTGCCCGCAACCAAGGTACATGCCCTTGACCAGAATCGAACCTGGGACCCTTCAGTCCGCAGGCCGACGCTCCATCCACCGAGCCAAATCGGTTAGGGCAGGCTGTGACTTTTGAGTCTAGGTCCATGTGATCTTGACCCCAGGTGGGTCTGCAGGCCCAGTCAGTAACTCCCGGCCCCAGGCTAAGTCAGTAGTCCTTCACCGGGGGCTACTGAGTGGCCGTGACCCCTGTGTGACCCCTTTGTCTTCCCAGGTGCCATGTTTT